ACAGGTGTTCCTTGCTTAACAATCATTCATTCAGCGACTGTTTGAACTTGCGACGCACTGAACAAGTGGTACTTATGTCTGGTCCTTGAAGTTCCAGCCATTGCAGCATCCCTGCAGTCATGTGATCACAATCTGGGTGCTTGGTGCCCAGCTTGCAATTATGATGTTGTAGCATCCCGCAGTCACGTGGTCACCATTTGCAACCTTCCTTGCCGGCTTTCTACAAGCAAAGTCAATGGGGAAGCCAGCAGGAGATTGAAAATGGAGACCACATGATGTCCTTGCTTAACGATGGTGCAGGATTCAGTTAACAATGGCAACTGGGAAGTGCCAGAACTGTTGTCACTAAGCAACATGGTCATGTGACCTTGTACTTTATGACTGTATTGCTTAGTGATGGAAATTCCAGTCCCAGTTGCTATAGTTAACTGAGGACTACCTGCATTTAATAAAATCTTATTTGCAATAAAATTTCCCTGAACAAGTTGTACTTATGACTATGGTCTTTGGATCCCAGAATCTACTGGCTACTAGCTGGCCACCAGTGCCAACACACAGCATTCCCAGGTCCTGCAAGTTGCCTCTCCTGGGTTGGGTTTCACAGCCTGGAAGAGCCAGGTGGCTTCACCAAATCAGCTTGGTCTTGATCAGAGGAGCAGAATACTAATGGCTCTCCTCTGAACTGGTTTGAATCCTTAGCTCCAGAACAGTGGTTTCAGGAAGCCCAGCATCATCCTGAGCAAACCCAACGATTGTTGGGGCCCTCTACCTTCCTTTCTATCCTTTCATGAACTTCAGGAGGTCCTGTCTACCACCAATCCTCAAGAACCAAGATCATGGTTCCATACTCCTCCTTCCTCCCCCCCATGATACCTTTTACATAAATCTCCTTCTCTTTTCCTCTTTCTCCTTGTCCTTTCCCTCCTTCCCCCAAATGATCTATCCATTGTTCAAATGCTGGCTTTTCAACCCCCCTTTTTGTTTTCCTTCCTTTTGCTCCCAAAGCAAAAGTGGATATACCAGTATCCCCCATATGACTTTTCCAAAACAAACACTGTTTCAGGCTATTGGTAGGATTTATACAGAGCATATATTGAACTTGTTCTTATCCCTAAAAACAACAGTGTACATGCTATCCCATCCCTACCCTCCAAGGAGTGGCCATGGCTATTCCCTCAGTACTGCTCAAATACTATTCCCCATTGAATACCACTTCCCCAGTGATCGCTGCTTTCCCCTTCAGTGCCATTTCCTTCACTGAGAGCTTTGCAAATGTTGGACTTCCAGCTGAGAGCCATGGCAAGGTTAAGATCCCTTTTTTTTTAGTGGGATGGGGTTACTATGGAGACCGGCATGGGATGCAGGATCCTGGCTGCCAAAATGCTCTCTGGATTAAGGAGAGATCTTTGAGATAGCCCATGCTCCTCGTGAGTAAAATGCAGAAATAGTCATTTCACAGTTTGCCTATGGGTCCAATGTCTGGGAGTCAAGGGAGGAACCGTCTTTGCTCACAGTCATTAATGCAGCCTTTTGACCGAGCCTTACTTCTTAATAACTTTGGATTTTTTTTCCTGCTGCTTTAAAAAGATTCTTTGGAACGGCAAGTTATATTGTATTTGTAGGTGAGTCACCTTCTCCTTACAGGAAGAACTTTTAAATACGATTTTTATAACCTTTTGAAAAATATTACTTTTTGGATTAAACAGCAAAAGGGTGCTCAGAATATGGACTTTAGAAAGTTTAACAGTGGATTAAGGACTCAGGTGGACATGGAATTATAATTTTAAATGACCACAAGAAGCTTTGAATTAGCTATAAGAAATTTTCCCATGGGAAAAATGACAGTTGTTTTGAGTTTTTTCATGATAAGGGGACTTTGAAGGTTGGACACTACAGGGAGCTAGAGAATAAAGAAAATGGAGCAGAAATCTATATACTACTAAAACTCTTGTGTCTATAACCTTCAACTGGGCAAAACAGTGCATCATAGGGCAACAATTTTTGAACCAAGATATGGTTCGAATGGGCTAATTTACAGAATGCATACAAAATCCAGGACCCATGGGGTTGAAATTTGGGAAATTTGTGGCTGCTTCAGGACTACTGTGCTGCTGCGCCGCCATGGTCAGCCCAGGTCATGTGATCATCATGGGCTTATCCCTGACCTCTTTCCTGCCTCCCTCTGTCCCCTGTGCCCAACAAGCTGATGGCAAGGCCCGATGATTGGCTGCTTTGGAAATGAGGCAGAAATTTGAAATCTCTTAACAGCTGTGGGTGTTGAGGGAAGGATGAAGTAGTGACTTGGATGCCTCCTGGTGAGGTAGGGCTGGCTGGGGGGCACTGGTGAGCCTCTTCCTCCCTTGAGGGAGGCGGCCAGTGGGGACATGCCAGAACCGCGAGTGGGGGTGCAGTTTTCCTCAGGGTCCATGGCTCCCTTTGTTCTACCTCCCCCCAGCAAAGTTGCAGGCAGTTCTGTGGGTCAGCTGAGGAGGAAGAGAGGAGGAGGCTTCACCTGGGCTCTTCTGAGGGTTGTGAGGGGAGGGCAAATGGCGCAAGGCTAGAGGAAGGGAGGGAGGAGGAAGGGAGGGAGGGAAGGAAAGGGAAGGAAATGGAGGGAGGGCAGGAAGGAAGAAAGATGGAGGGGAGGGGGGAGGGAGGGAGGGAGGAAGGGCTGTAGGAAGGAAGGAATGATTTCTGACACTCCCTGCCAGGTTTCCATAAGCAAAATCAATGGGAAACTGGCAGCAAGTCGCTCCCACTCCCATTGCTTTTTTTGCCCGTAGTCATTCTGTTTCTCTGTTTAGGTAAGGAAATATCTCTGAAACGATGACCCAACGGGTCATGGGTTGTCTAGTCTATAAATACAAATGGGAATATTTGTCTACCAAGCTTCTTGACAAAATAGATTAATTTCTTGACAAGATTGAGAGAGCATGTCGTAATGAAATTACAGAACAAGAACAAGTTGCAAATTGATTTTGAAATTACTTTGAAGGGGGACTTAAATGTAACAAATAATGAGAAAGATATGGGGAAAAATATGGGCACAGAAACGGAACCGATGGATGTCTTATTCCCAAAAGGAGATATACAGATATTGAACCAGGAAGCTAACTTGGATATTCATTTACTTACTTATGTACTTACTGGATATTTAAAAGAGTTCTGTTAAGGTTCTAAAATACTTTATTAGAAGTGACGAAGAGAAGGAGAAGCTTTACTTATTGGATATACAAAAGAAATCAGCTAAAGTTCTGAAAGATTTTTGGCTTGAAACACAGATGAACAGGAAACTAGTTCTGGGATTCTTTTTGAAGGAATTAAAAGATATTTTTAAAAGGGAAGGAATACAAGGTTGGCTTATTTGACCAGGGCTAAAGGAGAAAAATAGTTACATCTGGTTGCCCTTATGGGGTGAAGAGAGACTATTTTGTATCTGGAGATAGTTATAAGCTATTACGATTGTCTTTACCTGCTGGGATGAAGGAGGAAGTTACTTCTTTTTTCTTTTTCTTTTTCTTTTTCTTTTTCTTTTTCTTTTTCCATTTTTTCTGTTTTTTTCTTTTTCACATTTTTTTCTTTTCTATTTTTCTGTTTCTATTTTCTATAGCCGGTATCGGCTTTTATTCTTTCCATTTATAATTCTTAATGAAATTATTTGGAAAAAAAGAGAGCTTTGCAATTCCCCCCGCCCCCTTTTCATTGCTCTTCCCTCAACACTGATTATTACTTTAAAGGCAATTTTTTCTTTGAATGCTTTCTCCCCAGTCATGACAACTCTCTGTCACTGGCATATCAGTGAAAAACTTACACTGTGTTTGGTTTTTGGTCCCTTTGAGTCAGTGTTGACTCCTGGTGACTGCCTGGACAAGTCCTGCAGTTTTCTTGGCATGATTTCAGAAATGGTTTGCCATTGCCTCCTTCCTAGGACTGAGGGAGAGCCCAAGGTCACCCAGCTGGCTTTGGGCCTAAGGCAGGATTAGAACCCATGGTCTCCTGGTTTATAGCCTGGTGCCTTACCCACTACACCAAACTGGCTCTTTTCATTATATAGTCCCTTAATAAAATACAACAATTTTCTCTGACATGTGAGTGGTCACCATTTTTGGGATTTATATTTGCTGTGAGAAACAGATTTTAAGCATTCTTTTGGTAAAAGATCTTGCTTGCATAAGAATCCCTTCTGGATAGCCCCTGTGTAACAATGCTATGTCTACAGCATTCCCAAAATCTACTAGGGAAGTTACCCAATTTAAAAAAAGAGGTAAGGTTAGTATGACAAGTCTTATTTTTGACAAACTCCTGCTGATCTCCAATAATCACTGGATTGTGTTCAAGGTGCTTACAAAGAAATTATTTTATGAACTGGTTCCGGTATTGATATCGACTTGATATTTGGAGCTTCATGGATTCTCATTTCCCCCCAGTTGTGAACATAGGGACCACATCTGCCTTTCCCCATTTCCCTTGTTCTCTAGGATTTCTCAAAGATAATACAGGAGGTAAGCTTCCTTAGCACTTAGGTACAGTACTTCAGGACAATTTATCTGGCCCTAGAGATTTCTAAACACAGTCAAACTGAAGAGGTATTGCCTGATCATGTTTCTACATATTTCAACTTTAAGCCTGCTTCATCTTATTGGCCTGATGGAATGCACACTCTCTTTTTAGAGTAGACAGAGGCAAGCGGCGGAGAACATGTAATTCAAAAAGATAAGAAAACAACAACAACAACCTAGAAAACGGCAAGATGAAGGGAAGATCTACAGTACATAACAAAATTAGAAGAAGAGCATTCCTAAAGTACAAGATTAAAATAATAAGAGGTCTTTCCTCACCTTGGTTTGTAACACCATTTGTAAAGATCTCATAAGTAGGCCAATCCAGCTTGTGGAACTGACTTCCAGCTATCATGAGAGCTCCAAAGAAGACATACCAGAAGAATTTGGAAGAAGAGAGATTAAACATTGAATACCTTCCCCCCCCTTACCATCATTCACCTTGTGCCACAGACAGGTACAGTAGCCCTAGTATCAGCAAGGAGAAGGGAAAGTCCATGGTTGCCACTTCTCTGATACTTTTCTTCTAATATGTTGCCTGAGTAGTTGCGCTCCAGACAGTTTCAGTTCAAATTGCTTTATTCCAATCTTGGTATCTGTGCTATAAAGTGTAATACCAACAGTGAAAGGGTGGAGCATAGGGCATTTTCTCCTCCCTGAGTTTGAGAATGCAATTGAGAAGTTGTCATTCCCAGAACTCTCTCTGCTCTAGTAACTCCCAAATCAACACCTTTGCCCATCCTCCTTTGTGGTCTCCCTGTCTCCTCCCAGCTGCCCCATTCATAGGGTTAGCAGCAGTCTTTCTGGCAGAGCTCCCTATTCTTATAATAGCAGAAAATATTTCATGTATCTAACCTGCTGGAGATCCTCACCTGTTGTAGCTCTGTTTGTTATACAGCACAGGCAGGCACAGAAAGGGAGGCTGTCAGTTAAAGACATTTTGCCTGCAAATCACCTCAGCGGAATCATTAAATCTGAAGGTATTTGCATTGGATGTAAAGGAGTTACAAGAGTCACGGTCACTTGATGCTAACTGCAAATGCTTTTCTAATGTGGACCTCGGCAACCTGGTGACTATCTGATACTTAGGGACACATCTCTCACTACCCTTGCCATTAGCCATGCTGTGGGGCAAAGAGGAGATGAAGTCCAACATGGCTTAAAGGACATTGCCTGACCCTATTCTTAAAACAGAGCTGAAATCATTCTTAAAGTGCAGGTGGCGGAACAGTTCCACTGTCTTTTGTTACCTTTATGGTAAGATTTCTTACCAAACATCAAAGAATAACTCTCTTGTCCCTGAATTTGGGGATACATCCCAAATATTCCATATCTCTGAATCCTCTGGTCCTCAGTAACATCCCAAACCCAGACTTTCCCTCTTATATAATTACTAAGTCAAACTTCCTAGCATTGTTTGGGTGACCTTAACACAACACAAGGTAGAAAAATAGGGAAGGATGTCAAGAACTATCAATATTCATGGATGATTTATAAAGGACAAAAAACAAATAAACCAGGCACCTCTGCCCTGAGGAATGCATAATCCAAAAATCAGCGCAGATAGGACAAGAAAGTGGGCTGGGGAGAGAAATGGAAACAACCTTGAAAGAGACTGTTACATGCTTCTTAGTTTACTTAGTTTAGAACAGTCCTAGGACAGCACTGTTAGGGTTTTTATTCCCTTTGGAAGAAACTGGAAGCTTCTGTCCCATTTAATTTATTTATACAAACATGCCCTACATACTATCATGCAAGAGATCTACAACTTGACTAATATCCTCTCTTAGGAATTTGTTTGGAACATACAATTAATTGTTCCCATGAAGTCAACAAATGTGACTAAGATAACTTAGACTCCACTGGAGTTGGATGGCCACTACATTTAAATAAATAAATAATCACAAAATGGCCACCGCAACCAACTACTCGTTTTGAAAGGTGTTGTTACCTCCTTCCGATCCTCCAGGTTTTGCTACCTTCGTAATTTCCTGTTATGGTGCTAAGCATTTTTGAGGATGATAAATGAGAGCCCTGTCACTCTGGGTTAAGATTAATCCAGTATTGCTTCTTTAGAAGCTGGCCAGCCCCTAATAAAATACCACACCTGGATGAAAGTATAAAATGCTCATTTTCCTGGGACTGCCAAGTTATCCAAAGTCCACTTAATCACTCAGCTCAGATATTGCACCATGTAATAGTAGCACCACCCAGGCAGCAAAGCAGGAAAAGCTGATTACGGTTTTTTGGCTATAAAGAAGTGACTCTGGTTTTGTGTTTTTGTTCCTGATCATTCAGCCGATGCCAAAGACCGCCATCGTCAGCAAGGAGCCTGTTTTCTATCTATCCAGAAGAAGAGTGAGCAAAATCAGTCTGAGTTTCAAGTGCAAATGCTTTCTGCATAGAGCAGTTTTTCCCCTTTCAGGGAACCACTGCTGGAAATATTGCACGGCTGTAAATCACAGTTTGACAACTCAAATTACAATTACAATATAGATATAAATCAAATTACAATATACAATCTATCGAAATTATAATTACAGTATAGGTTTCTCATATGGAGGGATGTCTCTATGGGAAGAAAAAACCCCTCAAGAACTCATAAATTGAAATGGATGTTAACATTGCAGTAAGACTTTTGGGATACTATGTATAATAGAACCACTTGCTACTAGCAAGCTGAAAGTCTCAGATATCAGATATGTGAGAATAAAAGGAGAATAAGTGAAAGGCAAATAACAGATAATTTGAGACTATATTTAGTGACTGCAATAGGATGAAATAAAAATACACTTCAGTATAGTTTCTAAGGGAGAGGGTGTACAGGCAGGTATATATTTTTAACATCCTTTTATTCTCTGTTTAATTTTTTAAAAAAATATTTTTAATGTATTTGACTGTTTTTAATTTTGTTGTATGCCACCCAGAGTCACCTGTGGTGAGATGGGCAGCTACATAAATTGGTTTTAAAAAATAAATAAATAAACGAGAGATTCAGTTCCACCCATTAATGGAAATGGTGGAATTCAGTGACAACATTTGTAGTAAAGGCAAACAGGGTTTAAAAAGGAATTTGCTGGATTCATGACAAATGCTATGAAGATTCTCATGTCATTGGGCCTGGTTATCTGAGGGACTGCCTATGTCTGAGAGTTTCTGCCTGTCCAGTAAAATTGGGCAGAGTGGGTGCGCTCCAGGTTCCTTCGAATAAACTGTCATCTATCGGGATGTAGGAAGCGCATCTTCTTTGTCATGGCGGCTGTCCTCAGGTACACCCCCCCCCTTCAGAAGTCTTTGAAGACCTGGCTGTTCTCTCAGGCCTTGGGGTAGGATAGATGGTGTGATGGAAGGCATGAGTGAGGAGGATTGTGGCATGGAGATCCAAGGTCATAGGGAGGGGAAGAGGAATCCCAAGTATCTCCTCAGTCCTCAGCCAGAGCATGTGAAAGTGATGAGAAGGAGACTGGCACCACCCTAAGGAATTCAGAGTGTTTAGTTGCTGTTGTTGGGGGTTAGAGTTAGTCTGGCGAGATTCTGTCTAGTGGGTATAAGCTAATAAAGTAACTGAACTGTTCCTGAATTGTCCCGCTGAGTTTCTTGGGCTGAACCTGAAATAAAGTAACTGAACTGTTCCTGAATTGTCCCGCTGAGTTTCTTGGGCTGAACCTGAAATAAAGTAACTGAACTGTTCCTGAATTGTCCCGCTGAGTTTCTTGGGCTGAACCTGACAGGTGGGGAACCATTGACCATTGTTTCCTTGGTATATTGTATGTGTTTTTCTGAATGTACGTGGTTCTTTTTTCTTTCTCTTATGGTTTTCTTATTTTTTAAAGTGTAAGCTGTCCAGAATGGTCTGGAGTTGGGTGGCCCCTAAATTTAAATGAATGAATGAATGAATGAATGAATGAATGAATGAATGAATGAATGAATAAATACTGACACCGATGGCTGCTTAGTGCCTTCTGCATTACAGAGACTTTTCCCATTGCTGAATTGAAATGCTCTGTTTCCACCTATCCTGGAGTCAGTAGAAAATTTCGCTCTTTGCTTTTGTCATCATTGCTCCCTATCTTGCCTCCATAACATTCCTCCTGGTCACTGCTAGTTGCCTGACTTCCCTCTAAGACAGTGTTTCTCAACCTTAGCAACTTTAAGATATGGGGACTTCAACTCCCTGAATTCCCCAGCCAGCATGGCTCGCTGGGGAATTCTGGGAGTTGAAGTCCTCATATCTTAAAGTTGCCAAGGTTGAGAAACACAGCTCTGAGATCATGATAACAAAGCCTAACAGATTTTGCATACCTTGAAGCTGCCTTTGGATGGTGTCTGAATAAGAGGATAAATACTACTTTAGCATGGTATAGATGAGGATGACTTAAGGCTGTCTTACTCATGGATTGGGAATAAAATGAGGGTAACTTTATTGGGACATGGCAGAAACAAGAGGTTGCCTGTGCAGGTTTATGTTGTGCTTAGATACAAGTAAGAAAAGGCCCATAGGTGGCAGCATAAAATATGGATTGCTGGGAAACAATTGTGGATGGGGGCTTTTGCCATCAGACCAGGCTTCTGAACACCCATAAATAAATTCTCCTACTTGCCATCACAACCTGGTTTCAGCTGTTTCAAAGTTTGTAACTCCAAAGTTATTCTCTGGAGAGACAGAATGGAATAAACATGTCCCCAACAGGTTTGGAGGAGGTAAGAGAGGTTTTGTTTATCACTCAGTTATAAGGATTGTTAAAAAAAAGAAAAGAAAAGATTATTTATACATTTTAATGCTCCACCAGGAGACAGCATCATACTTTTGCCATTCAAAAATGTCCTGGTGCCTCAAATAACTAAAGTCATCCTTTTAGTTTGGATGTGCTTCTCAGAATATCTCTTTTAATTATTATTAAGGTAATCATGCATATGAATTGGTAAATCAAGTAGTAACTTGATGAGTTTAATGTTGTTCTCTCACTCTCTTTAAATCTAAATCAATGGAATACAGATGTCAATATTTTCTGATAGAATATGAATTAGGATATTTTTCCTATTCCAGAAGTTGGCAGTGGGGCCCTGTGGATATCATGCCTTCTGCAACACTCCATATGGTTTTACAACACCCCAATTAAAATATTTATTTAGCATTTGTTCATTTTTAAAAAAATGACAATACCAACCTCTCAAAAGATTTCAGGCAAGAATGCCAAAATTTAATGAGATTCTGTAACAAGAACAGTGAAATATTTTGAGAGATTGTGAACTTGTGAGATTTTGGGTATTTGTTGTTATTATTTAGAGCTCATGTTATCACACAAAATCATGTGATGATACACAGCATCTGAAAAGTTTGCTGACCTCTGCCTATTTCCATTATTTTATTTCTGTTGTACCTAAAAATTAGATTTCTACTTTTTGAGGTTTCTGAAGTTTGCAGGGTTTTTAAAAGTTGCAATCCTTTTTCTAAAAGGCAGCCATCATTGGATTGAGTAGTTCAGCATGGATTTGTGATGGAAGGACTAAGATAGAACCTTAGTTTTCAGTAATCCAAGAAAATAGTAATAATAGTATTACTATTATTTTAGGAAGTGCTGTGGGCAAATATAATCACGTGTAGTTTTGCATGGGTGAGCTCCTGTT